GCGTAGACGATCGTTAGGATCCAGCGAGATTTAATTCAATCGGATATCGTGCGCTTAATGAAACTCTGTAAAGTACTTAAACGCGGTTGTTGTACTTAACATTAATAAATTGATAACATTAAATTGGTAAACTTCATTTTACAAAGCGAAATATATTGTTCGATCGCCTTGTAATTCTTTTTTTTTTTTAATTTATTCTTTTCTGTAAACTCCGTGAAACAAATAAAACAAATCTATCTAAGCACTCTTGAGTTATAAAGTTCAATATATGATGTTTAAGTTTTTCGAGACTATTTGCAAAAAAAAAAAGAAAACATTTTAAACGCAGAATTTACGAGCAGATTTATAAGTTACATAAAAAATTATAATAATGTATATATTAATGTGTATATATTAACTAAAATGTATCTCACAAAATTGCTAGTGACTAGGAGAAAAATTTAACCGCAATTGAGTTAAAATTATGAAAAGAAAGAAAAGAGGAAATATGCGAGTACATGCATTCGCCTCGCACAAATCGTGTTTACAATGTGAGCGAGCGGAAAAAAGGCAATCTAATATCACATTTGTCGAGACATTGACGGCAAGTATCGGTGAAGAAGTAACTATAATATACACTACGTAACGATATAATTGCTAGGCTAATTATGTAACCATTAATCGAGCCAGCGGTAAATCGTCGATAATTACACCGAACGTGGATGTGTATGTGCGCGTGAGACGATTCCGCAACCAGGTACTTTTTTCGACGATAGATGATACTCCTTAATCTTTCTCCTTAGTCCTTTTCTAAACTGGAGTCGCGTCCAATAATAGTTGCTAATTCCTGCACCACGTCTCGATTCGCGTGCATGAACGCCTTCGCGTTCCAGATCATATGCACCAGTATTTCGTCACTCTTCTCATCCATGGCAACTTCCGTCGACAGCTGCGGATTGAATCTGTAGTATGGTACGCCGATCATGGAGCACCAGGTGCGAGCGCGATCGACTACGCGGCCGTCGCTGGCTGTCGCCTGATCAACCAACAGCGTGCCCAGCGCAGAGATACCAAACGCGAGCTTGGCGGTGTCCCAGAGACTCTCCGGTCGGAAAACGTCGATCTCATTCAAGGTATATGTAGTCGGTATGAGTCCCGTGCCGAGAGAGACCACTAACGACAGTGGTATCATCTCATTCTCGCGGTTAGTAGCCTTCAGCGCCAAATTGTACTCGTGGATCTCCGTCATGGCATCTAGGGTAGGATTGTTAGCAATCAGACCGCCGTCCAGAAAACGGCCAAACGCCCGGAAATACGACGGCGCCGCGCCGGTGGCCCTCGCCGCTTTCCAAAGTAACTGCTCCTGTGGCGATAATGTCGATTTGAACATTCCGTTCTCCGGTAACTTCAAGATCATACTAGGCGCCTCGTAATTGCGGAATAGATGAAGATCCACGGGCTTACGATCGGCGAGTACGCCCGTGATCATTATTTTTGGTTTCTGGATGTCCGCCATGACGGTATGGGCGCCGAGGCATTCTTTCAACACCTTCTCCAAACCCTCGCTATTGTAAGGTCGCGAGCCAACGAAAGCGTTCTCCTTGATACGAAAGTAGAGAGCTTGACATTCTCGTAGGGACTTACCTGCGGCGAGGCCGAGCCCTAGGATACCGCCGGTAGACGTGCCGGCTATCCAATCAAAGCACTGCACCACGGGTTTGCGCAGCACCGATTCGATCTCCAGCAGCGTCTGTATGAGCACCAGTCCCCGAATACCACCACCATCGAGACAAAGTAATCTACCGCCCTTGATCCGTTTATGGTTTCCATGCTCGGCCATTTTCTCCATGCCTGATACGTGAAGCATTTGATCGAGAATCGTGCGCGGCACATATTGTGGCGGTTCCGACGGTGCAATACCCGTGTAGTTTTCGTCATGCTTGCAGCCGAGATGACAATCTTTCATTTCCGATGGACATCTTTGCGCGCCTACCGCATCCAGTAGATAGATTATCTTGTTACCTTCGGTAGTATCAACGTTCGCTTTGTGCCTAGGCGTTTCCGCCTTCCAGTTCCGCGCATCGACATCAGAACCGAAGCCAATAAGCGCCTGTACGATGGCCGGTGTCTCTGCCTCCACTGCATAATGCAGCGGCGTATTGCCGTTGTTATCGACAATGTTGACAGACGCCATATGACTCAGCAAGGCGACTACACAAGGCAGTCGTTTGCGCATCACCATTACATGCAGAGCAGTACGCCCGTCGAAGTTGAGCGCGTCGATGTCGCAATTGGTGTCGATCAGCGCCGTGATCACTTCGCGACTACGTGACCAGTGCAACGGTGTGCCGCCGAATTTCATGTCCTCCGCGTGAAGCACGTTTGGCTTGTTATGTAAGAAATCGCCAACATAACCTGGACTGGAGGGCTGACCCTCGGAAGCAGATATGTTCACGTCGGCACCGATCAGCAGGAGCGCTTTTACACATTCGGGTTTATCGTTCAGACAAGCGACATGCATGGGAGTGTGACCGTTGCTGTTACGACTGTTCAAACTGTTTGGAAGACCCGAGCCCAGAGCAAGAATGATTTCTTTGGTAGATGTAGCTGCGTAATGATAAACTGTGTTCGCATTATGATCCAAATGTTCCAGCGAACTCTTCGCTGCTATCAGCATCTCAACGGTGCGCAAATTATTAGTTTGCACGGCGACTTGCAGGGGCGAAATACCAGTCTCTGAGTCCCCGCTGTTGAGCTGACTGTTGACAATCGCATGCATGAATGCATCATGAAGGGCAAAGTAGGCTGCTAAATGTGCTAGAGTCCATGTGGGATGTTCTACCAGAGTGTCGCAGAGTTTTTGAATTTTTCCAACATGGCACATCTTAGAGAAAAAGAATAAAAATTGTTATCAATTATACATATAAAATTTTTTTTTTAATAACAAATCATTTTTAAATTGTGTATGGAAGATAAATGTATAATATAGGAATATCATTTCTTTAAAGTATACTGTATATAGATATAAACGAAATGAAGAAACAATACCTCACGTACTATCTGCACAAGTACAGGGACTTTGTCTTTATATATTAAGAATCTTGTCTCCGCACCTTCTAGAGTTTCCGATCGAAACAAACTGAAAAAATATTGGAGTTTTGAAAATTTAATAATCAACAGAAAAATGATAAATAATATAAAATATAAACATTCTGCCATCGGTAGATAAATTCAAGACAAATATTGTTTTTATGAGCATTATTAACTTAAATGGCAATGTAACTGCTTCCAAGAAAACAATAATTACAATTATATATAT